AATGTGCTCGCTTCTTGCTCTAACCCTTTCGCTATCCAGGGGGTGCGCGGTAGACTATCCAGTTAGGCTGCGTACGTAACATACGAGTTCTTTTTGTGAAATCATTATAGTCAGATGTTTTAAATTTTCGAACGTTAATAATGTTGTTTCATTGTAGCACATTCATTGTTTATGTTTGTATGCATGTGTATTCACAAAGTATTATGCACATGTATTTTATTGTATGTGAGTCTGATTGAAAAACCGATGGGTCAAAAGTTGAGGTATTTATGAAACTTTTGTGGAACTAAAAATTGCGTGTTCCGCTTAGTTATTTGATTACCACGGCTGGGGTAATAACGGGCAAAGATGAAGAGTAGTTTATTTTATTAATGATGAGTCTAGAATATCGTACGTAATCGTTATTCGACGACTACTTAGTTATAAAACATTTTCTAATCGACGGTTCGCTATTCTGTTAGTTTTACGAAGTTACTTGCACGCGAATTTTCTAAACAAGTTTCCTCTGTTTACGCCTTAGCAGCGTTTACTGCTAGTTTAAATTCTATTTGTTTTTCAATATACGTAGTTAATTGACGAGGTAAATGAGAGAGTTCTCTGCGTGTTAGTATAAACTTCCTTCTTCTGTAACAGCGTAATCTCATGCGCACCGCAATGTGTACATTCGTTTCTCAACAGGAAAATCACGTCGAGAGTTTAATGTATAGACTCTGCGATGGAATTTTTGAACGTGCAATGTAAAAATTCTTGCCAAAAATAGTCATGATACTGTTAATAATCTTCTCTGTAATTGACGATGAGCGTGTAAATGCTAAATATTAGTAAAGAATACTTTATAGTACTAAATTTGTTTTGTTCAAATTTTATGGTTAACAATGACCTGACTTTGAAAATTTATGAGTATCCTTTTATTTTGGAAAGTATTAATTCCCGGCTATTAGTAAAAGCTATTAATATGTTAATAGTTTTTCCATCAACTTGTTAATCATTTTATGGAAAATAGGAATGTTTAGAAAGAGATCATTTGATTGCTTGTTGTTTCATTGAAACCTAGTTGAAATTTGAATGAAATGAACGTAATAATGTTGTTTTTACTTTTTCAC